ATTTTGACCTTAATAATATCTGTGTGCATCAACCCCCATGGTTTATGTAAATAGTGTCCAGTCACTTGAGTTTAATCTGTACACATAAACAATTCATGTATTGTAGTTCATAGCTGGCCTATACTTGTATAATAGTCTTTTCTTAGCAGTGTTATTGATTTTGTGCCATTGGCTAAACTAATGACATTATCAATAGAATTACCTTATGCCCTAGGGGGATGATTGATAATGTTCTCTAACATAATAGGACAACGATGTTTCTAAGATGAACCAGAGACAATATAAGCCATAGATATATGAATGGGTGTGGGGCTTGCACTTAATTCCAGCCCCAGTCTAAGAACAATTTGTTCTTATGACATGGCCCTGCTTGATGCTCACTCTCATGAAGAGATCACTGCAGTTATGAGTGCTACAGCAACGTGTGGTGGAGAAAGCAGATGGTGCCCAACTATCAAAAAGAATATAATTTGGGGTCTTGTCTTCAAATGAGCAGCCATCCAAGTGAGGCATCAACTAAGTCCACATGAAAGAAGCACTCCAGCCTGTGTGATCCATGGATTATAAATAATAAAATCTAAATCCAAAGGAGAGAATGGTATCAACTTAAGACTATGGATGACAGTGGAAGCCCAAACTCCATTTGCAGGGTCCACACATGTGTAGCGTCCCGGCCTGCGGGACACACGAGCAGGGCCCTGCAGGGAAAGGCGGACCTGGATGGAAGAAAGGACACGGAGACGTGGAGCAAGACAAATCGCTGATCAAACTCCGTTTATTTGGGCAAACCTCGGGGCATATAAAGGGGAACTGGGAGGTGCATATTTTAATAAGGTGTGCTACACAACATCCAATCCAACATGTACATTATAATGAAGCATAAGAATGTTAACCAATCAGCTGCAGGTAAAAAGGCGCGCACTAGTTCTCAAAGACGTCCTGCATGCAGACTAAAGTTCATAGGCGTAATGCAAAGTCCATCTTATGTCTGTAGTCCAATGAGCGCTCGGCATTATTAACCAATGGGTGAAAAGGTCAACTCTTACAACCGCCCGTGCTACAGAGCACGTAGCTAGGAACGTGGAGGTAGGGTTGGGCAGGAATTTAGGCAGGGCCAGTTCCCCACAGGTTTAGCAAATGAAAGACGAAACTTAACAACCAGGAAGCAGCCAAGTTCGGCTACGTGGCTGAGGCTAAGGCCTTAATGGCCACCGGCTCCCAACACACATGGATTAAGTCTCCAGCGTCTCCCCTCTGACCATAGTTGAAGGGTATGCATAGCCCTGCTATCAGACAGAGCAGTGTAAAGTCGATTATGGCAGATGTAGTTAGGTCAAAATGACAATGTCACGTGATCTCCTTTTTGATCCATTTAAAATTTGTTCTAGTTTGTAATATTGTCTGCTTTCTTTTTGATTGAGGTTTTTATCTGCTTGTTAGCTTTTAAAAATGTCTTTCTGTATATGAAATCCAGGATAGGCAAATCTATAGCATCAGTAACTGAATTAATGGTTTTGCGGGGTTATGGCCAGGGAAGTTGGGAAAATCGGAACCTAAGAATGCGAAAACAAGGAAAAAAAAGGTTCTGAAATTGATTGTGGTGATGACTGTATAACCGTTCTTGATGTGATCAAGTTATTGAATTATATGATATGTAAATTATATGCCCCAAAACTGTTCTATTTGTATATATGTATAAAATTTGTAGTTGCTAATGAAATGTTGGAGCCCTGGTGACATAATGGGTTATGCATTGGGCTGCAAGTGCAAGGTTGGCAGTTCGAAACAACCAGCAGCATTGTGGGCGAAAGATGAAGCTTTCTACCCCTATAAAAAAAGTTACAATCTTGGAAACATGCAGGAACAGTTCTATCCTGTCCAGAGAGTCATTAAGAGTTGGAATCAACTGGATGGCAGTGAGATTATTGTTAAATGAAATGTATCCAATCCTCACTTAATCCCATTTATACCACATGCTGTGTACACATTGGTTTCAGATACTGGTTTGGTATTTCAGGTGTTCACCCGTCTTCCCAATAAGGATAAGAACAAACCTAGAGTAATACAAACTTTGTAGCTTGACAACTTCTAAGGATTTTCAAACTGGTAGGGTGGGAGGGGTGTGTGTGAGGGAAAGCATGTACTAAAAGAATGCAATATTCTATTTTAAAATTTGGTGTTTCTTGATTTTTGATAAGCGCAGCTGATGGTTAACTACTTGGAGCAAAAGGAGTTGAAGCCCCAAGTCCCTGCGTCATCACAGTAGGACGAGGACAAAGGACTTGGGCTGAGGACTGATTCGTTAAGAAAGAACCAAATTGCATTTATATAAAAAGAAGACAAGTTTTACCCAAAATAGGACAGTGATAACTCCCTTTAGTAAAACTAACTGTTCTGTTCACGGGTAATTAGGTCTGAAGCCTGAAGCTTACTCCACGTGGGGGACCCTGTGAATGGGTTTTGGACGTTCACTGTCATCCGCAGTCTTCTGCAGAGCAGGTGTTCAAGATTTAGGCTCTAATACTGTTCTTTATCATTTACAATTCTTGGATCACGTAGGTTAATTAATGTGCTTCTTTCCTGTGGACTTAGCGGATGCCTCGCTTAGCTGCTTGGTTTTGCTTAGGTTTTTTTCCACCTTTTTTTCTTATTATACTATAAATAAATCATTTTGGCTGCTTGCTTTAAGACAAGCCAGTAAGACCCCAGACACAGTTCTGCCTGATACTTGAGCACCACCTGCTTTCTTCACCACACTTTGCTGTGGTGCCCGCCTCGTCAGTGATCACTTCATGGGATTCAGCAGGTCCGTATCAAACGAACGCATTGTTCTTAGATCAGGGCTGTGATTTAAGTCCAAGCTCAAAATCTGTTCTTATATCTATGGTTTATATGTGCCTATGGTTCACTTTAAAGACATTATTTGGCTGAAGGACATTATAAATTATCCTCATGGGGCATATGGTAGTTCTATTAATATTACCATTAATTTAGCCAATGGTATAGAATTTAGAAAAAGTATAGGACGTCTTTTAGACCAAAATGCAAGGATTGTTGATTTGTACAGATTAACAACTTAGGGGACTGGACACTATTAAGCAATGAAGACTGGAGATAGGACAAAACTTTCAGTACTGTTCATTCGTAAAGGTCAAACTGGACTAAACATGTCATAAAAGTGAATGGCCAACTTTTCCTTTAGTAGTCACGTACAAACCTTTTGGGTCACACAGGGATGATTAAATTAATACCCCTCATTTGTTTTTCACCTCTCTCCTCTCCATCCAGTCAACAGTTACTGAGTATATATTCTGTACCAGGCATAGCATAGGCTATAGGACTATGAGGTTAGACCTGGCCCTCTCCTCAAAGGGCTTTCAATCTGGGAAGGAACTTGAGAAGCCAAACTAAACCCACTCCCATTGAGTTGATGCTGACTCATAGTGACCATGTAGGACAGAATAGAACTGACCCTGTGGGTTTCCGAGACTGTAAACTCTTTTATGGGAGTAAAAAGCCTCTTCTTTTCTCCTGCAGAGCAGTTGGTAGTTTTGAACTGCTGACCATGTGGTTAGCAGCCCAACTTGCAACCCACTATGCCACCAAGGCTCCTTTGGACCTTTGAGAGAGATAGATAAATGGACACATAAGAGAAAAGCAAAAGGCGATGACTCCTCCCCAGTGTACTATAGCGAGAGAAAATGAATGCAGGATATTTGGCCTGTGTGAACCTCTGAAACTGGGAGGGCACATGGGAGACATTTAGCGAGTTCAAATTTTGTGGGAGAAGGCAGCTTAGAGGAAGTGTCTGCAGGGGAGCATACGATAAGTTTTGTTTGGCTCACATAAAAGTCCTAAGTAATCCTGAAGGTTCGCAAGTGCAATTCAGACATTGGTTTTGGGGGAATACTATTCTTTAGTAATGTGGTTTCTGAGCTGCCAGAGGACCAGTTAGGATGCTACGGAAACAGTCCAGGTAGGCAATGGGGGGTGGGGGGCTCTAAGGCACGATTGTACAGTAAGAGGATAAAGAGGAGAGAGTAGGATTAAGGGTAATGCAATCAGGAGAATTATTGAGGTGTAGTGACTACTAAAAGGAGCGCCCTGGTGGCACAGTGGAGAAGTGCCTGGCTGCTAACCAGTGTGTTGAGCCCACTGGCCAGTCCCTGGGAGAAAAACCTGGCAGCCTACTTCCGTAAAGATTACAACCTTGGAAATGATGGGGGCATTTGTGCTCTATCACATAGGGTCACTAGAAGTTGGAATTGACTCAGTGGTCATGGATTTTGGTGTCCTTTGGTAGGGACCAACACGGTGGTGGGGAGGGCTGAAATTGACCTAAATTTCTGAGTAGGTTGTGTAGTTGGGTGGTGGCACCATTCTAAAGATGATGAGCTGGTTTTGGACATGTTCTGGGACATGAGGCGCGGCCAAGTCAAAAATATCCAGACGTAGTAGCATAAGTGAGTGAAGAGCTCAGGTGAGAAGTCGTCGCTGGAGCTGCGGATCTGGGAGCCAGAGGTTTCGTATTGGGCCCATGGGTGTAAGTAACTCAGGGAGAGCAAGACAGAAAAAGGAAATGAGATTGGGGAACCAGCTCTTGATGGAAGAGCTGGATTCGATTAGTAGAATTGAAGGAGTAGCCTCACTCTACAAGGAGTCACTGGGTGACATGAAAAACCCCTCCCCTTGCTGCTGCTAGTAGTGGTGATAGGGAGGGGCCGAGGGAAGGAAGAAAGGAGGGAGGGAGGCAGACCGACTGATTTTAACTTCATTCCCCATTATTTCTGAATGTTTTCCATCTTTTAATTTCACTTTCCATGACAGCGTGCGTATGTGTTTAGCTTCTGACCTCAAAACTTGAGGAATACATTGATTTCTCCTGCGATGCCATCAGACTTTCAGGGAAGGCGTGGCTAAAGCTCTTGAGAGGCTCGGGCTGCTCACCGCATGCACATGGTAGCAGGTAGTGAAAGCAGGTGATTGCTTCTGTGTTTCAGATAATTCAGAGATCAGTGGCACCTGCCAGCCTGGGCCTGCTCGCCTTTAAAGTCTACGCCGCACCAAAGAAGGACTTGCCCAACAAAAATTCTGTCAAGGTCGATGAGGTAACCCACTCTCCATGAACATCCATCTGTTCGGAGTCTGCTTTAGTTACTATGGGGGTTTCTCGAACATATCCTGTAAAAGAAGAAGTCAGTTTGCTGACTGTTCTGCTTTGTGTGAAACTACTAACCTCTGTCTCTTTCACCCAGTAAACTTCAGTGGTACTTAGTTAAGGACATAATTACAGAGTACCTCACCGCTTATAAAATGGGGAATCGGTTGTGCCCTAGTTGGTCATAAGCACACTGATTCTTGGGTGGATTCAAGGCATAGTCTTACAAAAAAAATCCCTAACTACGGAACAAATCTTCCATCCATTGTTTACCTTCTTTTTTGTTGTTTTGTTTTGGCCCTGTGCCCTCTCCTAGAGCATTTTGGATATCAGCCATGGGCCAGGTTATCTTACTATAAGGTGACCAGACGTCCCGCTTTTGGCGGGACAGTCCCTATTTTTAACAATTTGTCCCGCGGCCCGCGGCGTTTTTAAAAAGTCCCGATTTTTGGAAAGAATGCACGACAAGCTAGGGTATCCGGTTTTTGGCTGCCATGTGGCTATTTCTCCAGGATATGAGTTTTATCAGTGGTGTCCCGCTTTACCTATGTTAAAATCTGGTCACCTTATCTTACTATGCATACATAAAGCTAATCAGCTCTATGACACACAGAATAATCCAGGAGGGGGAATGGCGATGCCAGAAGGGTAGGGGGAAGAGGGGGAGAGGAAGGGAGAAAGGGAGAACTGATCGCAATGATTAGCACATTACCAAAAACCCCTCTACAGGGGGAAGAACAACATGGGGAAGGGAGACAGTGGTTGGTGTGAGAGATGAAATAATACCAGTGTACAATCTATCGGGGGGTTATGAGGGTGTGGGACAGGGGGCAGGAAAAAACAAAAGCTGGTACCGAGGGCTCAATAGAAAATGTCTAGAAGAGAATGAGGGCAATATATGTACAAACATTCCTGATTCAATTGATGTATGGATTGTGATAAGCGTTGTACAAGCCCCCAATAAAATGATTTTTTTTAAAAAAAGCTAATCCGCTTAACTTTTGCTTGCCCTATCCTCTCCTCAGGTTTTGGGGCAGTGGCATTTTTAGGGTGAAAGTGGCAGCCAATAGTAGTTGTGAAAGTGTTCTTCATTGGGTGGGGAACAAATTTGCCCTCCTTTGATTAGCACTGACCATTTGACCTAGCATATACTTCAATCACTTCCAGGCTTTAAAAATTCCCTTCTCACTACCCTTTAGAGCAGTAAAAACCTCTTTTCCCACACATTCTAAAATGAGTACCAAGTGGGCAAGGGGAGCCGCTCTTGGTCTACACACACAGCAAGGAAATGAGTAAGGTGCAAAGATGATGCAAAGTTCGGGTTAGGGTTCATGGAGCCCTAAGGGTCATTGTAATTCATGAATTCTTAGAAGCTGGTAAGACATTTGCTCATTTATTGTTATAACGCTGTCTAATTTGGAATTTCTTTTTAAAAAATACATACGCAGCTGTCACTGTACTCAGTTCCAGAAGATCAATCTAATTATGTGGACGAGCCAAGGACTGCCCTTGAGGAAAACATTTCAGAGCTCCGACACTCCTGTGAGCCGTATCTAAATTGGTGTCAGGTAGGAGCTGTTCTGAAAATGGAGTTAACGCATTTCTCTTTAGAATCAGTAATGAAACGTCTCTATTGGCTGCATGTTTTTGGCGAAAGACACGCTACGAGGGGTCCAAAGGAGTCCTGGTGGAGGCGTAGTGGTTCTTTGTTGGGCGGTTACCCACAAGGTCAGCAGTTTGAAACTACCAGCTTTCTACTCTTAGAGTTCCAGCATCAGATATCCACAGGGCCAGTTCTCCCCTTCCCTATAGGGTCTCTGTGAGTCAGCATCAACTCATTGGGTGAGTGAGTAGAAAGGTGAATAAAAAGAGGGTGGAATGACACGTTTTAGTAATGTCTGTCCCTAATGGCCAAAGAATTATGTCCAGGGATTGGCTTCTGTTGCTGGCCACGTTTTAGAGCAGACGGAATATTGTGATTTATAACGTGACACTAATGTTTACAAATCTATATAGGATGCTTTCATAGCCCTTGCTACATAATGCTTTCCTTCTCTTGTTCCTTATCTTGATTTTGCAAATCAGTAAAGACTAATATGTAAGGGTATGCGACGGGGTGGGGGGTGGGGGGGGGTTATGCGACAGGGTCCACATTTACTTGGTTTGAGTAATTCAACTTTTCAAGTTAGTAATTTTGAGATTCAATTTCCAGCCTGAATGTGACTTAATTTGTAATTTGTACCATCTGTGTCAGCGTTGTACTGTTTACCGATTTAGAAAGAGCCTAGTAAACAAGGACTACATCAGCAATATCAATTGGGTTATTCTACTTAAGTGTCATAACCATATTCTTGTGCTGTGAAACACCTAATGGCTTCATATGGATTAGGTGGTCAAGTGTTTAGACCTTATTCTCTTCTCGTGTTTTTTTTCCCCTGGTGAAAATGTACACAACATGTAGAAGATTTTAAAAGCATCTTTTGTTTTCTGGTGATGGTTTAGACAGTCAGCAAATTTGTATGAATATTTTTTAATACCATGTAGGTATGACTGCTGTTATTTCTAGGGTTCGGTTTTTTAGGGGGGTGGGTAGCAAATGTACTCTATTTACCTATTAACCTGTTTCTTTTGTTTCTGCTTTGTGTCTCATGCACAATACTCATCACACTAACATACCTTTCCTCTAAGCCAGAGGTTCCCAAACTTATTTGGCCTACTGCCTCCTTTTCAGAAAAAAAAAAATTACTTAGAGCCACCCAGTGGCAATGAAAGTTTTTTTGTAGTGTAACCCGTAAGCGTTCCCAACGTGTTTATTTGCACATTTTGAAAATAAGGAAGCTTTCTTGTGAGTCAAATGGTTTTGTGTTTTCCCACAGAATGAAGTCTCCATGAATAGAAATATTTCTCATTCTTCACACATTTTTCAGGCCACTAGATTTTAGCCCCTTTCTTCAAGGACTAATTTGTTTTTCTTTTTCATGGTAAAATTCAAGCTAGCAAGAGAAGTGGGCACTGACTCCAGATGGTGGTTTGTAGTTTCTCTCCCTCCCTTTGTTTTTGTAGGAAGGAAAGCCCCATGGTACATTTTAGTGAAGTGCATATAGTCTCCTTTATATTTTTTAGGTCCATCTTCCAAATTCAGATTTATTGTGACAAACAATGGAAAGATACCGGATAGCTTGTTCTCAATTGAGCTGAACCAAAGAACCAATCAAATCAAATAAGTCTTTTTCCCCAAATAGCATGGGGTGACTCCTTACACCATCAAATAGCTGTTTGTCTTTTGTCAAATCATAACTGTAGGATTCTTGAGAGTGAGTCCCTTTAGCTAGCTCCTTGTTTCTTTGTGGACGATTTGATACTCTTGTACCAAGCTTGCTGTTGTTAAGAGGATGTTGACACTTGTTTTGCTTCAGAATTAGTTTAAATGTCTCTCCAAATGTGGATATAGATCTTGATCTATATCCTTGATCTCTTTCCTTCTTTAAATGGGCCATTTTCAGGCCCAGGCTCTAAACTGTGACTCTTCTAGCAGACCAGGAAATGGAGTTGATAAAGATTTAATCACATGGGGAAAGAATTTGCCGCCTTTATTATCAAAGGGGTTGGTTCTATGTTCAATATTTGATAAGACAGTGAAGGCTGGTTGCTAAAACCGCTTGGCTTGGGGTCTTGGCTTCCTGTGGCAGTGGTAAGCCATTCTGGGAAACAGTTTGCTGGGGAAGGAAACTAACAAATCAAACCAAACCAGGAAGTGTAGCCCCTTTGCTCAAAAGGTGGGACTAGTGGGATCATTTGTTCAGTAAAGCTAAGTGTATTTATTCTGTGGCTTCACCTACTAATTCCTTTTCACTTTTTTTTTTAAGGAACAGTACGACTACGTCAAGCCCAAGGCACAAGATTTTGTTCAATGGGGGTCAGGTAAGTTGATTTGGAATTTAGGCACAATCACTAACTGTTCCATCACTAACTGTCGTGCTCTTTAACCCAGTCTCCTGGGAGTTCTTAAAACGGTGTGCAGGATTTTGGAGTGATGTGGGCTTTCCTATGAGTCAGAATTGGCCCGCCGGCAGTGTGTTTGCATTTGAGGGGCCTTTTTCACTCAAGGACCCGATTCAGGGTCATTGAGACCATTGAGCTACTGAGTACACTTCAAAGTGCAACCAGCAGATTTTCCAAGTCGGTGTAGCACAGTGACCGAGTAGTGCGTGTGCGTGGGTCAGTTCTTATGTCCATGTACATTTGCATGTACACGGCTACAAATGCATTCAGGAGAAATAAGATGAGACTGTCTACTCCTATAATGATATACAGCCTTGCAAATAAGAAGTAAGATGAGACTGTCTACTCCTGTAACGATATACAGCCTTGCAAACCCATCCCACTGTGAGTTGGGATGGAATCAACTCTGGAAGTGGGTTTGATGTTTTGGGTCTGACAAAACTTTAGGAGCCCTGGTGCAGTGGGTGAAGCATTGGGTTCCAAACTGCAAGTTCAGCAGTTTGAACCCACCAGCCTCTCCATGGGAGAAAGTTGAGGCTGCCTGCTCCCGTAAAGATGGGACAGTCTCAGAAACCCTATGGAGCAGTTCTGTTCCTCCCTGCAGGGGGACTCTTGAGTTGGGATCTCCTAGATGGCAATGGGGTTTGACCTTGATTTTATAGAAGGTTTGAAGCCGCAGGGAACTGGCCTGGTGTGCCTCCGAAAGGCCATATTGCATAATTAGTGGCGTGTTTATGTTTTCACACGTGAGAATTGACTTCCATGGCAGTGAGTATTGTTTTCCCACATGGGAGTCACTTATTCAAAAACTCACTGCCATCCAGTCGTTTCCAACACTTAGCACCCATACAGGACAGGGGGACCTGCCCCTGGGAGCTTCTGAGACTAACGCTTTACAGGGGCAGAAAGCCTATTCTTCCTCCTGCATGTATCGTATCACTGGTACTCAGAAGTCATCTCCATCAGGAACTGGTAAATTAATAACGCAAACCAGACCCACTGCCGTGGAGTCACTTCCAAGTCATAGCCACCCTCTAGGACAGAGTCAGAATGGACTCTACGGCAGTGTGTTTGAGAGCCAAACTGCCCAGCAGGGTTCAAGGGCATTCCGTTAGCAGCTGAGTGCTTAACCACTGCACCACCACAACTCCTTGTAAATGAATCAAGAGGCTGCTAATACCTAATTCCCCCACTTGGGCATCTCTTCCAATTAACACCTTCTTTTTTTCATAAGGGTTTCTTTCCGTGACAGAATGAAATAGGCACGAGTACAGTATCTCTGCTAAGATCACTGCAGTCTTTGGATGTGCTTGCTACTCCGGAGGCTATCAAGTCCGGGCAGCTTTTGTGTAAGGGCAGATAGAGTTACAGAGTACCAGTTCTTTACATTATTAGTAAAAGTTAATGAAGAACATCCTAACTTTAGTAATAAGCAACCTCTTCTTTAGTACTTAGTCCGTGTCAAGTACTATTCCAAGTCCCTGAGAAATACGAATTTCTTTAGCTGTTATAAATCCTGATAGTTAGGTACTGTCATCATTGTTTTTCACACAAGGAAACTAAGGCACTCCTGAGTAATCTTCAGTTTTGACATGTGTCATCTCCTACAGATTTGGAACAGTAGTCACTCATCTGCACAGCCAGCCATGCTTTCTCCTTGGGTTGGCAGTTACTACAAAAGCTCTTAAGCAGAGATGGCACCATTGTTAGTTCTGTTGCTTTTCACACAGGCGGTCACTTCATTTCCCAGCAGTCTCAGCCAAGGCATGTTACCAGAAGCTGTACTTCAGCTCCACCTGAGTCTTAAAACACGCCTTTTTGCTCCAGTTCCACTTTTTGATTCACCCACTTTGGCTCAGCTCACCAAAACCATCTAAGCATGCTGCTGGCGAGTGTTCTGCACGCATGTTTAAAATTGAGCACAAAAGAAAGTTGAAAATCGCTTGACCTGAGACAGACAAGGGGATGGCACTTGAAAGGGGATGGGCAGGTCAGATCTAGTGCAGCTATAACACAAGCCCTGTAGTTGTATTGAAAATGAACACATTTCCCAAAACACCTAAGAAAGGGAAAACTTTTTTCTTTTTGTACATACCCGTCACTACCTGAAGAAGAGAGTTATCGAGGATTCCAGTTGATTCAGTTCAGTGTGTATTTGTGCAGTCACCTCATGCCAATCATTGAAGAATGAGGTTGATTACAAGGGCCGCCACCCCTGGGATGCCTATTATAAATGATCCAGTGCTGTGTTGTTAGTGCAGATCCAGAGAGAATTTCAGACTGCTCTGGGAGGTCCCGAGGAAAAGAACTCCGCTGAGTAGAGAGAGGCCAGATGGACCCAGTCGAAGGGGGATTTCTGAGGCAAGTCTGAAAGGGGTAGTGACTGGCCCCACTAAAATGTAAGGATGGGGCTGCAGTGGCATTTCCGACCGAAAGCATGGTGGGATCACGGTGTCAAGGGGCAGCTCTATATTGGGAACCCGAAGCAGATAAAATAGGGCGTGCTGAAGATGAGGCTGAGAGAGGGATGCAGGCTTTCTGAGTCCCGGCCTAGCTGAAATTCCTTTGCTAATCAGTAATCTTCAGCTTCTAGCCCAGTGTCCTCACTAGCTATTTGTGGAGCGAATATCCTCTATGTTACTACTGCAGGAAGGGAACAGATGTCTCAGCAAGGTGCCTAGGGAGGCCTACAGCTGAATAATCACAGCCCAAGATGGAATAGGCTTGCGCACTAAGTGATGGAATGGAGAATAAATACCATAGAAGACATATCGAGTTGATGAGTTAGGAAAATACTAATTTAGGGCAGACGGACTTAGCCAACTCACACTTGGTGGGATCGGCTCTGGAGAGTAAAGTCATGCGGCGTGTTCGGGCATGGCTGATGGGTTGCACTTATTTGTACTCATTTTGTCACTCTCCCAAGTGACTCTTCCATTTACTGTAAGTTTCCTTCATTATCCACATGTATCCTGATCTTGAGTTTAAAGAGTGAGACCAGATAGCGAAGGCGCTTTTTCCTTCTTTGTCTTGTGTAGTTGGTTCGCAAGTTTTAGAGAACACACGGCAAAGCTTTAAGATACGGCAGATCTGTCTATAAAGATTCATCCCAGTCTGTTTGGTGTCTGTGTTTGTATCACAAGAGTTTAAACAGTGAAGGGGCCCTGTCTTTATATTTCTCCCTGTGTGGATCATCAGTTCAGATCTGTTGCCTTTGCAAATAGGAAGAGCATCTAAGATTTTTTTATAGTCAGTGAGTTGTCAGACCACAAGGGTTTGAAAATTGGACACTTGCTATGCGAATAAATACTAATTCCATATCACATGTTAACAGAAAACAAATAGTTCATAATTTGAGAAGCATTTGGTGTACTGTCTGTACTAGTTTATTTATATTTTTTGTTTCATTGTTCTTTGAAACCATTTATAAAATCGTTTCCTGGTCTAATTCTATTATAGATACCTATGATTATCTCCAAAATGCACCTCCTGGATTTTTCCCAAGACTTGGTGTCATTGGTGTTTCTGGCATTGTTGGACTCCTCCTTGCTAGAGGTAGGTGCAATTTTGCATTTTCATTTTTGGGGGCAGGTTTATTTAGGTCCAGTTTATGTTCTGTAACATCCATGCAGCTACGGAGCACCACCACATTCAAAATGGAAAGCAACCATCAGCCCCCAGAGTTCCTTTGGGCCCCTTTGTAGTCTGTACCTGTGTCCCAGCCCAGCCACAGTTCCTGGCAACCAGGGGTCTATTTTCTCTCCCTGTAAGTCCACCTCTTCTCTAACTGGAATCACAAAGGACGTTGAGTTTGGTTCCCATTCTGCATGATGGCTTTTGTGCTTCATCCGTGTTGTGGCATGTTAGCACTTCCTCACTCAGGCATTATACAAACTCCCCATGTTGAAAGTCTTAGGAGCCATGCAACCAGGCCCCCCATAAAATGACAACCATGGAGAGTAGTTTGCCAGCTGTGCCACCCGTTTTAAAACTCTTTCTCTACACACGGCAACTGCTACTGTAGGAACTTGAAAGGCCTCTCCTCTGACTGGTGACGTGAGCTCACCCCTGCGCACTCCTCACTGGGGGGCCTGGTGAGATTCTAAAGACCAGGTTGTCATGGGAACATGGAGGCCGACCACATCAGCTGTACTGCGAGCATCCTGCTGGTGTGCCTGCTGAGGTCACCTGCCTCCGCCACTTCTCCCTGTCCACTATCACCTCAGGAGACCCTGGCTCCTACTGGGCCTGCAGGGAGGGTTACCCAATTTTCCTGAGCCAGGGTGGCCCAATGTCCCTCCATCTCCAGGGTCCCTTGCCCTCCCTGTAGTTTGAAGAGGGGTGGCCCCAGCTCATCTCCTCTATGACCCCAAAGCACCCAGGTGGCTTTTCTCAGGGGGAGGGGACTCTCCGAACATGGGTGGGAGGGTCTGGGTCCTGGGGGGGTTAACATGCTACCTGTTGGGTCCCCCACTGGCCTCTTACCCATGCATCCCCATCTGAATGAACAATTCAACGCTTTCTCCAAGGCCATGCTGGCCAGGCCCAGCCTCTACCATTGGCCATAAACTGTAGCAATATCTCACTCAGACTGACCACTCTCCACGGATCTCAAGAAGGGACATGAAAGTGAAAAGGTGCTGGCCCTGGGCACTCGAATGCCCCTCTCAGGACTCCTTCTGGCCACAGCCTAGCCTAGCCTTGCTCCCAGACCCCCCTGCCCCACCCCCACCCCCCAGTCCTGCTTTCTTCCCCGCCTTAAGGGTGGCACACCTTGTGGGTACTAGCCCCTGCTGTCCCAGCCTCAGCCCCGTGTGGGTACCTAGGACTGGTCCCACTACAGGCCCCATGCTGGAGTGTTCCTTGGGTCGCCCCAAGGACTCGGGGACTGCGCCCGCCCTCCCCCCCTAGATGGTGACCCCTCAGCAACCCGAGCTTCCTTTCTCCGTGCATGTGGGGCATGCTGGGCAGTGTTTGTCACTGCTGGACAAGCATCGGCAGCGCACAAAAGCAATAGGTTTTTTTACTACTGCGAATCGGAGATATGAGATAATGAACTAAGTGGGTAAGTGAGGAGCAGGTGTAATGGTTTCTGTGCCCACCTCTTGTGTAGAATAGGTAATAAAATTAAGATTTGTTTGTAGTAATCAACTTGAGAAATAGTAGAACCTCCCCCCAGCCCCTTAAACTTCTTTTCCCTCTCTCCTGCAAAGCTGTTTAGAAAAACATCCCAGTTTTCTTTAAGTAGGGTTTGGAATGTACCAAAATCCCAAGACCAGTCCAGGTGCTGGAATTTGGGTGATTAGGGAGCCGGCATGTGTAACGGAATGCAGTGAACCCCGCTGCCTCACTCCACAGTTAGAGCACATGGAGGTATTTTGCAGGACCCAGAGACGCTCACTGTGGCATGCCCTCCTTTCTACACTGGGTGTTTGTCGCCTGCACAGCCAATCCTGTGACCAGCCTGGGGCACCCCCACCGTGAGCCTTGTCCTTTGTCATCTTTACATACATGGGTACATCTGCATGCGCGCGCGCGCACACACACATTCACTCACTCGACAGGGCTTTTCCTGTGAGTGCTGGGTCTCCTAGGGGACTGCTGAGCAAGCTGAGTGGGATGGTAGGTAAATGTAATGGCGGGCCTTGGTGGGTGCAGGTTCCTGCAGGTAAATGCTCCCCTCTGGCTGGCAGCAGCAGGGTGGGGCCTCCTGGTCAAGTTTCTTGAGCTCATCTGCCAGGATAGCCTACTTCGTTGAGGGGGACGGCCAGTGTGGCAGGACAGGACTCCCTTCCTAGTAAGGTTCTCGGGAAGGAGCATTCGGAGGAAGTGCGCCCAGCCAGGTTACTCTCGGGTTGGCAGCTATGGTTGTCTTCAATGGCTCGCCCAGCAATGGCAGCAAGTGGTTCCCCTGTGACACTACTGGCTCTCCCAGGCTCACCACTGGCGTGGTGGGAGGTGTAGACTTGTAGACAGAGTGGGGAGCAGTGCATGCACTTCCTTCGGAAATTCTGGGGGCCTCAGCTCCTTCTGGGAACCAGCACGAAGATCTGGCCAAGAGCTGCCACTTGTCAGCTTCCCCTCCCCAAAGGCAAACTCACCGCCAACGAGTTGATTTTGACTCCTAGCGACCCTGTAGGATGGAGCACAACTGCTCTGTGGGTTTCTGAGGTTGTACATCTTCCTGGAAGTCTCGTTCTTCTCCCGTGGAGCAGCTGCTGGTGGGTTTGAGGCAGTGTAATGCGTAACCCACTTTGCACCTGCTTCCCCTGGAGGAGGGAGAAATGACTGGGCACAGACTTGGTGGTGGTTCCTGGATCCTCACCTGTGCAAGCGGCCCAGGGACTTAAAGCTTCAAGAGGCCAGGTATGTAGCAGGCTTTTCTCGGATCATTCTATCCCTTTGCTCCAGGAAGTGAGAAAGGAGCACTAGTTTTATTAATCATCTAGGTTGATAGCATTTGTATCCTCTATTGTTCATCTTTGGGGATCTGTATGTTGAAACTAAAAGTTTGAACACCAACAAGGATCCCTTTTGTTAGAGCCATGGAAGGAGCCCTGGTGGTGTAGTGGGTTACACATTGGGCTGCCAACTGCACGGTCACCCGTTTGAAACCACCAGGCCCTCCTTGAGAGAAAGATGGGGTTTCTTACCCCAGTAAAGAGTGAAACTCAGAAACCTGCAGGGACAGGTCGTCCTTGTTCTGTAGGGTCGCTATGAGTCCGAATCGACCGGATGGCAGTGAGTGAGTGTTAGCATGTGTCGTGTTAGCATCTCGCCAGGCCCCAGTCAAAAACGCTGCCTCTGAGTGGAGGTATTTCTAATGCCAGATCCACATACATCCTCCTATTTCACCCCGTCTATTTGCTTACGTCATTCTGAGGATCCTTCAAGCTCTCCATCCTGCTCTCTAATCTGCTGAGACCCCTTTCCCCCCGGCACCGTACACCTGTCTACACTCTGGACTGCCATTTCAATAGAGCTGTCGCCTTGGGTCTTGTCTTCTGAGTTCCATGCCTTCTCCTTGGTTTACCCTACTCTGTTGTTGAAGGACAGGCTTAAGTAACTTTTAAAAGAGGTGGCGTTGAAGATAAATTTGCTCATAGTTTCTTGCATGTCTGAAAATTGCCTTCTGCCCTCAGGAACCCCCAAACCCAGAACTCACTGCCGTCAACTCAGTCCCGACTCAGAGCGACCACACAGGGCAGGATAGAATTGCCCCTTTGGATTATTTCTCCGACTTTAAATCTTTACGGGAGCAGACTGTCTCATCCCCCCCCCTCCCCGCAGAGCAGCTGGTGGGTTTGAACCACTGACCTTTCGGCCAGAAGCTCAATGCCATTTTGCCCTCATACCAAGAACTTCCTTGATTGGATGTAGAATCTATTTTCTGTCCCCACTTCGAAGGCCATGTCTTCACTCAGGCAGCTGGTGCAGTGTGAGTCGGTAGCCAGGCTGATGCTTGCTAAGTGATCCACTTTGTGTTCTGGAAGTTCTGAGAGCTGCTTGGAACCCTCAGTGTTCTGAATTACCTCGGTGCTGTCACTAGATGGGCTTTTCATCCCCTAAGTGGGCATTATAGCGGCTTGTAGTCTTCCGTTCTAGGAAGAGAGCGTGGATGTCTTTGAAAATGTACTCCCATTCTTTTCCCCTTTTGTATTCATGTTAATCAGTGATGGGATCATCTACTTTGAACCCCATGTCTCTCGTGTTTTCTAGATTATTTTATTTTAGTCCTTTTGAATTTTTTTTCATTTCAACTTTGATCACTTCCAGGGCTCTATATTTTTCTTGGAATGTTCCTTTTTCATAGAACTCTTTTTTTTCTTTTTCTTTCAATGTACTAGCTTCATGCATTTATTTGTTGATCCTTAACAAGAAGCGTGGTTTTGTTTTTAAGTGCTTATGTTTCTGGTAGGGTGGGTGTTCTCCTCTTCTTGCATGTCTTGGCCTTTCTCTTTTCAGTTGCCGGTTTCCCTCAAATGTCTGGTCACCCTTGGTTGTCCAGAAATGGTTTAGAATGCGGCGGTCTAGTGAGAACTCTGGGCATAGATGGGGCTTGCTGACAGGCAAGCTCCCTCTTACCTCCTGGTGAGTTGGAGGGGAGCTGACCTTAAATGAGAGGTGCCTACATCCAGTGCCCCATAAGGAGAGCTTTTCTTTCGGGCCCTAACTCACCCACCTCAGCTCTTGGTTCTTAGAAGAAAATTCATGGCGTTTCCTTAGCAATATACCACCCCCACCCATTTGGTTTAAAAATTTTTTGCTGTGGGGTGGCTGTCTGACCACAAGCCGTCTTGTACTGGAATAAGATGGGGGTACTAGTCTGTTTATAGAACTTGCATTTGTTCCCTGATCTGAGCTTCCCTGAGGCTGCCTGGGTCCAGTCTGCACCCTCCTCAAGTCCTGCAGCCTGCCTGTCCTCTTGTTTCTGTCCTCTTTGTTTTTTGAAAATTGACGCTTTTTATCTGCCAGCAGCCTCTCCATGTACTTTGGGAATGCTATCAAGAGGGACCAGCCTCTGGAGAAGGACAGCATGCTTGGTCAAGTAGACCAAAGCCAAACTCACTGCCTTCAAGTTGATTCCAACTCACAGCGACCTCATAGGACAGGGTAGAACTGCCTCTGTGGGTTTCCGAGACTGGAACTCTTTAAGGGAGTAGAAAGCCCCAGCTTTCTGCCGCGACACCACCAGGGTTTCTCCTTGGTAACGTAGGGGGTGAGCAAACAAGAAGATCCTCGGGGACATGATTGACACTGGGGCTACAACAATAGTGAAGGTGGCCAGGACCATGCAGTGTTTCAATTCGTTGTACATGGGATCGCTGAGTCAGAACCGACTTGATGGCAACTAACAACTGCTATTTGAATGGGGTCTCAAGAAGAAGTGCAGAAAAACATGTTTGGTATCTAAATAGGAAGCCAATTTGCTGTAAAAAAAAAAGTCAGAAACCCAAAGAAAGTATATTCTTCAAATTCCGGCTCTCTTAGAAATGGTAGTTTCTTGAAACGAAGGCTGCCCCAAAGGGCCACATATTGTATGATTTCATTGACGTGAAACACCCAAAGGAGGTGGATCATGGGGGGTGGGGCAGAAAGGAGGTCGATCAATGGTTGGCTGGGGATGGGGTGGAGGATTAGAGGATGTGTGGTTTATTTTGGAGTATGTGTGAGATACGATATTCAAAATTGGTTATGGTGCTAATTGCATAGCTCTGAGAATATGCTAAAGCATAGACTAGCACATTCTAAATGGGTGAAGTATGTGGTGTGTGAATCCTATCTCAAGAAGGCTGTCAAAAAAAGGTGATTTTTTTTGTTGAGCCTGGTACAGTTCCCCACATTCTCTGTGAATTGGGACCAAAGATGTCTGATGTCGGTATTCAATGTGCAGGGTCACTGGTGGTGGTAAGGTAAATGTGTGACCTTTTCTTTAATAGGTTCCAAAATAAAGAAGTTGATATATCCACCTGGCTTCATGGGAATCGCTGCTTCCATCTATTACCCACAACAAGCCGTCAGTTTGGCTCAGGTAAGGGAGACCCAGTAAGAGAGGCTGACTTTCATTCTTAATTGTCTGTGGGTGGATTTTCTTCTTTTTATTTTATTTTATCATAATTTGATCCCAGTAAAATTACTTTGCACATATGGATGGGCTACAGCAAAAGTAAATGTTTTCCTTTGCTTTGTACCTTAGCTCTGACCACCCCTTCCAATAATGTCAGTGTCAGAGAATACATGCCAATTTGAATATTAATTGATGGAAATTACCACTACACTATTTTGCACAGTCGTATGACAATAGAGATTTAAGATTTCTTTTTTTTAATTAATTATTTTTATTGGGGGCTCTTACATCTCTTAACACAATCCATACATTCATCCACTATGTCAAGAACATTTGTACATGTTGCCATAATCATTTTCAAAGCATTTTATTTCTACATGAGTCTTTGATATCAGCTCCTCATGTTTCCCCTCCCTCATGAACCCATGATAAATTATATATTATTATTTTCATATCTTAACATCATCCCCTGTCACCCTTCACCCACTTTTCTGTTGTTCGTCTCCCTGGGAGGGGGGGTTATATGTTGATCCTTGTGATCAATTCCCACTTTCTCCCCTACCTTCCCTTTATCCTCCTGGTATCTCTATTCTCATTGTTGGTCCTGAGGGGTTTATCTATCCTGGATTCCCTGTTTTGTGGGCTCTTATCTGTAGCAGTATACCTGTTCTGGTCTAGTCTGATTTGTAAAGTAGAATTGAGGTCATGCTAGTGGGGGATGAGGGGAGGAAGCATTAAAGAACTAGAGGAAAGTTGTATGTTTCATCAGTGCTATACTGCACCCTGACTGGCTCGTGTCTTCTTTGTGACCCTTCTGTCAGGGGATGTCCAGTTGTCTGCAGATGGGCTTTGGGTCTCCATCCATGGCGGCCCCCTCCCCTAATTCACATCGGTATGATTTTGTTCTGGGTCTTAGATGCCTGAGACCTGAACCCATCAACACCTCATGATCACACAGGCTGGTGTGCTTCCTCCATGTGGGCTTTGTTACTTCTCAGCTAGATGGCCTCTTGCTTATCTTCAAGCCTATAAGACCCCAGACACTATTATCTTTCGATAGTTGGCACCATCAGTTTTCTTCACATTTGCTTATGCACCCACTTTGTCTTCAGCTATCGTGCCAGATTATTAGAACAAAGTGTTCTTGTGTTGAGGGAGTACTTGAGTGGAGACCCAATGTCCATTTGCTACTTTAATACTTAAAATATAGATATAAATACATAGATTGATTTCCTTATCATTATATATAAATGTATTTACATATATGCATGCCTCTATTTAGACCTCTATAAATGTCTTTGCCTCCTAGTTCTTTCCTGTATTTCCTTTTACTTTCCTCTTGTCCCTCCATCATGCTCGGCCTTCATTTGGGTTCAGTAATTCCTCGCTCTTACATTGCCCTTGATTAAGCCCTACTAGGCATCCTACGCCCTTCCCTCCATTGATTTTAGTTCACTTGTTCCCTTGTCCCTGGGTTGGTTGACCCCCCCCCCCCTTTCTCCCACCTCCCCTTCTCCCGTATCCCTTGGAACTGTTGGTCCCATTGTTTTAGTCTCCGAATTATTTATCCTGCGTATCTTATCTAGATAGACATGCAGAGGCAGTAATAGAGACTAAGGATTTCAAAGTGCTCAGTAGACAGCATAATGGTAAATGGAGAACTGATTGAAGTTGTCAAGGATTCTGTCTTGCTTGGATCCACAGCCAATGCTCATCAAAGCAGCAGGCAGGAGATCCAACAATATTTTGCATTGGGCAGATTTGCTGCACAAGACCTCTTTAAAATGTTGTAAAACAAAGATGTTAACTGCCAAGAGAACAAACAGATCTGTTTTGAGAGAAGTACAGTCAGAAAGTTTTTTAGAAGCAAGGATGATGAGACTAAATGTGCTTTGAACTTGTTATCAGGAGCAGTCCAGTCCCTGGAGAAGGACATGATGTTTGGTAAAGAAATAAGATCAGCCAAAAAAAGAGAGGAAGACCATCCAGGAGATGGATTGACACAATAATTGTAAGGATGGTGCAGGACCGGGCCATGTTTTGTTCTGTTGTGCCCAGAGTCCCAGTGAGTAGGAAGCAACTCGACAGCACTTATTACCAACAGTGACAACTTTTGTGGTCCCTTTCAGTTTGGGTATATCTGGTCACAACCACCTCTTCTAGGGTTTCACGTACAGAATGAACTCTGGCCAACCGGTCCGAACCTTGTCTGCTCTTGGCACCGACTTTGGGGCACGTGGGCCCCTCTCCTGAGAACCCTTCTCAGGGCTCTCCATTGTCTGCTCTTTTCTTGAAAATATTTTATGTTGTTATTGTCGAGAATATGAACAGCAAAGCCCACAGCAGCTCAGCTTTTTCTGCGTGTACAGTTCCTTGACATTGATGACACTTGGAGTTGGGCAGCCATTCTTACCCTCCTTTTCTGAGATCTTCCTCCCCTATTACCACGAACTCACTGCCCCCTAAATTCCCTGTCTAATCGCAGCTGTTGCTTTGATCCCCTAGAGATCTTAAAAAAGCACAGTGCTCAAGACAGGCATTCTTTACTAGTTTAGGCTAATTGGTTTTAAGGAGACAAATCCTAGGGAATCGTTGGCGGTTAAAGATTATATTAGGCTTGTTGTTTCAAGAGCTCATCCAGCCCTCATGGCTCCAGACAAGGCTGGAGTCTATGAGAATTTGAAATTCGGGGTTGCATTTTCCCTCATGTGATCAAGATTCTTCCACAGAGGTTAGTCGTGGTAACCAGGCACCATCGAGTTTTGGTCTCATGGCAAACGAGGCAGTTGTTCATGGAGACCGTTAGCCACATTTTCTCTACATCTGCTGCCTCTTCTTGGCTCTCTTTCTTCCTTTGTTGCTCTGGCAAGTACAGGCCAATTGTTGTGCCTCTGGTGGCCACTTGTAAGCTTTTCAGAGCCCAGGCACTACTAGGCAATGGACTAGGAGGTCGAGTAGAAACACTAAGCTGTTGTTTGACCAATTAACTGGGATGCCTCATGAAACCAGGACCCTAAACCACCAAACTATGGAACCAAATCCTATGAGATGTTTGGTTGTACATATAGGCAGCTTCAGCAGCTACCTATCCCCCATTGTTGTGTTGTTGTTTTTTTGTCAATTCAGCTTTTTACAGGTGTTGTCTTAATTTCCACAATTAAATGAATTGGCTGTACAACTTTACCCTTAATGCAATCTTTCCAGTCCTATGAACCAAAACTCAGAAGGTCCTGGATAGAATGGGAGAAAAATGTGGAACAAAACTCAAATTTCATAAGAGACCAAGCGTACTGGTCTGGTCAGAAAGAAGACTGGTGGAACCTCCAAGACTCTGGCTTTTAACACCCTTCAGGTTTGAAAAAGAACTTGCCGCCCAACTCACAGTGTAACCAAACAGTAGGCAGGCTTCCAAGGGGAACCCCACTAGGAAGGTAAAAGCTCCTTAGAATCAGCAGCCATTGCCATCAGAAGGGCAGCATTTGACCATGGACGAGGTTCAGAAGGCAGGGGCGGTTAGGAAAGGGGAATTGGAAAAGGGAAACACAGGAGGCAGTGGAATACATGATGTTATACGGTGGGAATTGTAGTCAATGACATGAAACAAAATGTGTGTGAATGTAAAATGGATTTGTTTTGTAAACCCACGCATAACTCACAATACAAAAGTTTGAAAACTCAGTGCATTACAAACCATGAACACTTCCTTTCTCCTCCACCCCTGGTAAGCACTAATAACTTTGGTTTCTATACTAAAAATCCTGTGTCAGTGACACCGGTATGGAGAGGGCATCCCAAACACCCTTTGTTTTCCCTTGGCTCAGCTGTGCCAGAATGCAGTCCCGGCAGCTGCCTCCACTAGTGTAAGGTGAGCAGATGTCCTGCTTTTGGCGGGACAGTCCCAATTTTTAACAATTTGTCCTGCGTCCCGTGGCGTTTTTAACAAGTCCCGATTTTTGGAAAGAATGCACGACAAGCGAGGGTATATGGTTTTCGGCTGCCATGTGGCTATTTCGCCAGGATATGAGTTTTATCAATGGTGTCCCGCTTTTGTCCCGCTTTACCAATGTTAAAATCTGGTCACCTTACACTAGTGAGCACTCCATGAGGGTCAAAAAGGCTTGTCTTTTTTGGTTGTTAGTATGTGGCCATGCACTGAAGTAAAGTTAACTTGATAGGACTCTCTGCCCATAGTTTTTGTAACTCCCAGCAAATGACTGAGGGGGAGCATGCAAATAAAGTGTGGAGAAGACTAATGAGAGGATTGTAGTTTGCGCATTCTGCTGAATATAAAAGATGCTATCTTAGAAAGCAGGAAGAGAGAGAACCCCGTGACCAGCAGGAGGAGGAGCCATACTCACCTGAGATATCTGTGTAGAGAAGTGGTTGACAGCCAAGGCCATGAAGAAGGGGCCATGGCAACAGCAGAGACGGAGAGAGAAAGGGAAGTGGGCTTCCCAGCCCACAGAAGGAATACAGCTGGGTGCCTTTGGACAGGAGTCTGGCTTGCAGAGTGGGTGCCTTTGGGCATTTATCAGTGCTCAAGGAGCTTTATAACACTTGCCAGGTCAGGGCAGAGGCCAAAGAACCATGTGACTGAGGACTGGGCCAACTGACATGGCTGAGGACAGGCACTGTGGACCAAAGAATTATCTACCGTATATACTCGTGTACAAGCCAAGTTTTTCAGCACATTTTTATGCAGTTTTTGTGGTAAAATTAGGTGCCTTGGCTGATATCCGGGCCAGCTTATACTCGAGTATATACGGTACTTAATGTTTTTTGACGTTGGTTTATAACCTGGTAACTTCCTTAATAACCCCCTTAACTGTGAGTCTTATCTATGAGTTCTGTATGGCCAGTGTGATGGATTATAGAATCCAGCAGAGAAGTCGTGTCGTGGGAGAGACGATTAATGTCAGAATCAGGGAAAGGAGGGTCGAAGCATAACCTGACGTCTGCCTCCTCGAAGTGATCCTTGGGCAGCTCGGGAGTTGGATTCCCTTGCCCTTCATGCAGCTAGAGGAGGTTGGACGTGGCCGCACGCCATTTCCTCAGCCCAGTACCGAACTCTATGTATGCCAGGCCCATAACTAGTATGCATCCAAGTGA